ATCTATCTATCTATCTATCTATCTATCTATCTATCTATCTATCTATCTATCTATCAAAGGTCTTGGGGCCACAAATTCAAATTAATATCATGATAATGTTATACACTGAAATTGTCAGTATTTGTAGAATACATCTGTAATGTTTATTTGTGTATTTTTCAACTTTGGTTCCTGTTATGGGTGATTATGCTACACAATTTTTTTGGATGCGGATAAAATTTGAAAGTGCAAACTTAATCATCTTTGGTGAAACTAAAAGAATGTATTTGCCCATATTCAAATGATGCATCAAAATAACCATAAATAAATATTTGTCACGACACGATGGAACGAGGCGCTTGTTTAATTTTGGGCATGTGGCGTTATTGGTATCATCTAAAAGCTTGTTAAGTTGTCTTCCTTTCGGTGGAAAAAAATACCCGTATATCTTGAATAGAAGTCGAGATATTTGAAATTGAAGGAGGTTTGGTCGCCTGGTTTCAGCGGTAGAATTAACGAGAAAATGGCCGCCAAAGTGTGGTAACTTTCATAGCCTGAGAGTTCTTGAAAACCGAAAAAGTTCGTTTTTTGTGCTTTTAATCAATGTGTTTCTGTAAAATCCGCATAAAAATGTTTTTAAATGAACATAAAAGGCATTGAGCCAAAAAACAAAATTGAAAATAATTGCTCATTGGCCAAAAGTGTTTTTTTTTTTTTCAAATGCCGATTTCTTTGATTTAATTATTTTGAAGAGTGCCTTATTTCACCACGATGCCTCACATATAGAACTGAAAAATATTGAAAAATTTGCAGTTATTTACATACATTCCACACATTTTGTACATATGAATCATAACATCCAATATTGAAAAACTATTTTTTAAAATAATCCTGAAAATGGACAAGATGCATTCACAAACAGAAAAAAACCACACGACATATCTTATATGGAATTATTCAGAACTGCATTTGAAATAAACCTATACATCTCTTCCTTCCTTTCATCATTCATTCCTTCATTTCTTCCTTCCTTCTGTCCTTCTTTCCTTAGGTCATTCCTACTTTCCTTCCATCATTCATTCCTTCCTTCCTTCATCTTTTTTCCTTCATTCCTTCATTCCTTCATTCCTTCCTTCCTTCATTCCTTCAATCCTTCCTTCATTCCTTCATTCTTTCATTCGTTTATTCCTTCATTCCTTCATTCCTTCCTTCATTCCTTCCTTCCTTCCTTCCATCCTCCCAACAGGCGGAGACAGAGGGCAAGAAGCGGTACCGTGTAGTGACCAACCCCGTCCAGCCGTTTGTCATGACAGAAGCACCTCACCAGGACTACGGAGCCTGCCTCAGCGATACACCATGCCTCAACCTCACCAACAAGTTCAAGTCTCAGGTACGTGGTCTCTCTCTCTCTCTCTCTCTCTCTCTCTCTCTCTCTCTCTCTCTCTCTCTCTCTCTCTT